TCTAATACTGTGCGGAGTCGCTCTAGATGTTGGTCGAATATAGCGGAAAATACGACAACGTCATCCAAGTACACCAAGCAGGACTGCCATTTCAGTCCCGCGAGGACAGCGTCCATCATTCTCTGAAACGTAGCTGGCGCTGTGCACAGGCCGAATGGAAGCGCTTTAAATTCGTAGAGTCCGTCTGGGGTTATGAATGCCGTCTTTTCACGGTCGCGCTCATCCACCTCAATTTTCCAATATCCGCTCTTGAGATCAAGGGAGGAGGAGTATTTCGCACTCCGTAGTCGATCGAGTGTATCATCGATACGCGGCAGAGGGTATACATCCCGTTTCGTTACGCTGTTCAGTTTCCGATAGTCGACGCAGAATCGAAGGCTGTTATCTTTCTTTTTAACAAACACTACGGGAGACACCCATGGACTGCTGGAAGGCTGGATCACGTCATCTGAAAGCATCTCCTCCACTTGTTTCTTGATGACGTCTCTTTCCTTTTGCGATACTCGGTATGGGTGTTGGTAAATCGGTCTCGTGGTACCTTCTGTTATAATCACGTGTTTTGCAATAGCCGTTCGTCGCACCTTAGAGGACGTTGAAAAGCAGTCCAAAAACTCTTTTATAAGGGCAAACAATCGTTTCTTTTGATATTCTGGGAGCCTATGGTTGACGTTAACTGATGCGTCGACGTTGCAGGTCTCTTGTGGAGTGGTTGGCGCTGTCGCTAAACTGCATAGTTCAGTCGCCATGCAGAACTCGTGGAAATAGGCGATAGCCATACCTTGCGCGATGTGCTGACATTCATTCCCAAAATTCGTAAGGAGGACAACTGAGCGGCCATTCGTTAAGTGAACAACACCCCTTGCCACGCAAATTCCTTTGTTTAAAAATAGTTCTACGTTTCCATCCGCTATTCCTTCGTGGTCACAAAATGCCTTATTTTCAACAAGCACCATTACACTACAGCGAGGTGGCACTGTGACGTCATCATCAACAACGCACAGAGCAGTAAGACGTCGCTTTTCCGATTCCTCCACCGACATAGCTTGTTCTGTCGAAAACGTTACACTGGATCTGCGCAGATTAATTATGGCTCCATTGGCTTGCAGAAAATTTATTCCTAGTATAAGCTCTCTTGAACAGTCCGGCAGCACGATGAAGTCAGCAACGTATGTAAAGCCTCTTATTTCGAGCCTTGAGGTGCATCTGCCCAGCGGTGTAATAGTGTGGCCACCTGCCGTGCGTATCTGTGCCCCACTCCATTTTGTTACAACCTTTTTCAGTTTCTTTGCCAATTTGTGACTCATTACCGAATAATCAGCGCCGGTGTCAACTAAAGCATTCAGCTCGTATCTGTCTATTTTCAACCGCAAATCTGAAGTAATCTTCGCACTGCTGCGCTTATCCTCTGTAAACATAGCATCGTCACCTTGAAACCGCAATGTAGGATCTTCGCAACTGTCGTTATCAGCGGCCTCACCTCCACAGGTCGCTTGCTTCAGTTTTCCTGGTGTGGGCTTGTAGAACGGTGCCCAGACCGTGCGGAAGAAGCACGTGGGCTGGGTGATCGGTAACACCTGGGCGACGGCGATCTTGGCTGATGTTGGCGTGGAGTGAGTGGGCTCTGGCGCACGGACAAGTACTCTTCGATCTCGGTTGGCCGTTCACCGTTTCGAGGGCATGGTGCGTACAACGGAAAGCCCCTTAATCCTGCCTGTCGGTAAGGGCAGAACCTATACAGGTGACCTGCTTCCCCACAATGGAAACACAAAGGCCTGCGCTCATGGTCACGCCAGATGTCACTTTTCCGGGGCCTTTGATCCACGTAGCGAGCTACACCACGGGCTCGTGGCAGGTAGGTAGCCGTCGGTTCCAGTGGACGAGGTGCGCTGCGTACCGTTTGTGGGCAAGGAGAGGCCATCGTAACTGCTGCATTGGTGTGCGCCGCGGGCTGTCTGAGTACTTCACAGTACGTTGGTATGCGTTGGATCGGCTGTGGCGCACGCTCCGGCTCACGTATCATCTGCCTCAGTTCATCTCGTACTACGTCGACTACAGACAGTGTTGCTGTAGTGTGAGGTGCTTGCAACTTGCTGAGCTCTTCCCTGATCACCGACCTGATGAGTTCTCGCAGAGCGTCCATGTCACTTCGCTGGCGTCCAGAGAAGACATCGGCAGGTGCATAGTTTATGTCTCGATTGTACTGTCGATCCCGCTGTTCTAGCGTTTTATCTATGGCTGTCGCTTCCGTATGAAACTCCGCAACTGTTCGTGGTGGGTTGCGGACGAGAACAGCGAATAGCTCTTGCTTCACCCCACGCATGAGGTGGCGTAGCTTCTTGTCTTCGGTCATATGGGTATCTGCGCGCTTGAACAGGCAGATCATGTCCTCGATATACATTGCGACACTTTCGTTGGTGAGTTGGTTCCTGGATTCGAGCACAGCCTGCGCCTTTTCTTTGCGATCCGCGCTGGCATAAGTCGCCAGAGCTTGTCGCCGAAGTTCATCCCAGGTCGTAAAGGAGGTTTCATGGTTTTCATACCACGTCTTTGCGAAGTCCTCCAAAGCAAAGTATACGCGGCGGAGCTTCTCTCTCTCGTCCCAACCGTTCAAACGTGCCGCTCTCTCAAAGAGGTTACGCCAATCTTCTACGTCTTCATACGAGTCGCCATGAAATACTGGTGGCTGGTGAGGCTGATTTATCACCACTTGGGCTGGCTTGTCATGGTGGCGGCGTCCATTGACTGAGTTCCCCTTGGCGTAAAGTGGAGTGGGCTGAATTCTGGTGAATCACCTCGAAGACGGCGACTGGTCCTCTGATGCACAGGTGTCGGCTCCGCAGTATCAACTGGCTGGTGGTCGGGGCTACGCTGTCTTGCGTTCGTAGGGCTTTGATTCATTACCCAGCACCTCCACCAGAAATGTAACGATGTTGAAGGACTCGGGCTATAATAAAACGTATTTATTAAAGGGCGAACCTGTGCCCACAACTCAAAGAGACTATGGTCGTAGCACGTTACAGCAGAACGGCAAGATGTCTTCTTCTTCTACTTCTTCAAGAAGAGTCCCAAGCGCATGGCACACATCAGCAGGGGCCAGCTGGGTTCTAGTGCTATCATCATCATCTCTGCGCAACACTAGACGGCGCCCATGTATGCCTCTGTGCGCGTGGTGATGGGCGCGTTGTTTGAATGCAGGCACTATGTCGTGGCAATATTACGCAGTGCTTTGTACGAGAGAGAAAGGAAGTGTGATATAAAAAACTGGAGGGACGTTATGTGCCTCCTGATAGTCTGGTTCACCCATTTATGCTATCTATTAAAACATTTGATTAAAGGTCATTCGTTCGCTTCGAAATTCGAAAAGTTCCACTTTTTACGAAAACCTTACGACGGAGACCAAAAGATAGCTAAGTGAATGGACAGTCATCAAACCTGTCGGCATAAAAACATGCTTCACAAATCTCGTTCACCCCACGAGAGATGTGTATTTGCACTGTATACTTGCAAAAATATTCAGAATAATGCATGCACAAATGGTAAATTACTCCACCGATATAGTGCACTCCTTAGTACAACTTACTGTCTTTTGTGTCACTATGCTCGAATATTGATAGCGTCATATGATAGAATAAGCATTTTTGCAACACAATCGAAAATCTCGGCATGAGCATACGAAGAGACAAGGGGGGCACGGTTATATTCTTCACGCACCTAAAAGAGAGAGTAGAGGGGGCAAAGTCAGCCACAAAAATTACGTATACATTAGGGAGGGGGGCAACACGACACGGGGAGGGGGCGCATAGTCAGCCCCGTAAATTGACGTAATAGGGAAGGGGGCACTGCGACCAACGTTCGCCTCCTCGCCCCGGAAGGGGTAGTCTGTGCGCGCCCTTGGGCATTAGGATTAAGAGCCTTTATGGATTCGCCTAAGACAACTCAAAGGTGAAAGCGGCCTTATTAATCTTTTTCAGAGTCAATGCTATTGTTCCACAGCCCCCCCTTCTGCCCCCCTCCCTCCAAACTTTCTGCACTGCACGTGATGTTGCCCTTTCTCTGGGATAGGCCAACCATTGACCACGCAACGAAACTATGTGACGCCGACAGTGACGTCATGATGGCGTCACTTGTTTCGCTCATCTGTTACTTTGTGGTAACGTCACCAGATTGTGTCATTTATGTAGTCATGCGACATTGGAAGCATTGAATAGAAAGAAAGAGCGAGAGAAAAGGAGAGAGAGTGAAGGTACAAAGAGAAAAAAAGTATAGATAGAGGGAATTAAAGACGAATGAAATACAGAGTGAGAAAAAGAGATAGAAAGGAAGAGAAAGTGGGAAACAGAGTGAAAGAAAGGGAAGCGAAAGATAGACAAAAGAACCGAGAAGAGAAAAGAAACCGATAGAGATATACAAACAGAAAGAGAAATTCATGCACACAAAAGAAAAAAAACCGAGAGAAATGAAAAAAAGAACGAGAAATAAAGCAAAAAATTGTGAAACAGCAGAACAGCAACAGCCAGGACTACCAAGGAACGCATCAGCTGCGCTTTCTTATTAGCATTGCGCCTTTCCTTGGCTTTTTGAAAGGTACCGCACAGTATTGTGGAGTCATGTCAAATCTCGAAAATCTTTTGACTCGTGGGAAACATGAGACTTTCGTCTTCATAACAGGTTATCAGGAAATTTACGCAATGTGGTGGTCTCGTACACACACGGCAAGCGAGCGCGCTATCTCTTACAAGATCTGCTAGACTTGCAGAGTTCCCGAGAAAGCGGAACAGAACCTATCTGTGCTGACGGAGAGGGCGCGGTTGTCGTGTGAGCGATCACACCTTGGCGGCTTCGGAGGCTGCCACCTTCAGCATTCTTGACACACTCTTGCGCGGAAAGGGGATACATCAACAAGGAAGTACACAGTTGCGATAACATGCTGCTGATACTCGAAAAAGGAGATAAAAGCAGCTGCCGCTATATAAAGTTTCGAATTAGTCTCCTACTCCAGCAGTGCGTGGACGACTAACTACAAGATCGGACTAGTCACTTTGCTACATGGTGAGCAGGATTTCTCGCCTTTGCGTGATCGCATGGCTGAAAGGCCGCCTAATGTCGGTGGCTTTCGTAACGGAAAACGGGTATTTTTTATGGCGTTCTCCAGCAAAGCTTGATACGTGTGTTTAGAAAAAATGGTTAACGGTTTAGAGTACTAGGTGCTCTACTACGGGAGACCATAAGACCCTTCCAGGGACCTCACACTTGATGAGGCCTAATTGGCGAAAATCAAACCGTGAACGAATTCACGACGTCGTAGGCACAAGCACCATCATCTGGAGCAGCTGATCCGTACTAAAATCTTAGCTGCCAGCGGCGAGCGCTATTTGGGGCATTCCTGAACAGACGGCTGTCGTGTTCAGAAAGAGTGGTTAAGAATTTAGAGTATTCTGTACTCTACTATGGGAGAACTCATAGCCGTCCTGTTATGAGCGTTTAGAAAAAGCGGGGAAGAATTTGGAGTGCCAGGTAATCTACTATGGGAGAGCATAAAGCCATCCCGCGTGGGAAATCAGCGAGGGATGCTGTCGGTAACGGTGGCAACGGCAATATATTGAAAGAGCAAGAGGATCAGGAGGATCTCTAACCAGTCGGCCGCTTCTAAGCTTATCCTCACGACCTGATAAACAGCTCATTTCAACCTCTACCGGTCTATTTCATGCGTACAGAATGGTGGAGGTGCTGGGTAAGCGCTTGAACTACGGAACGATCACCGCTACAGCTTCGACAAGCCATCGACTTGTCCAGCCTCCCACCATCCGACATGAGTGCCTTCAACATAGCCGAAGAAGCAGGCGCTCCCAGGACAGCACCGTCTGGTCCGCTTTCATGCTACCGAGTTCCACCACCCTTCGGAAAAAAGCCAAAGAAGATGTCGACACCTGGCTCAACAAGTACAAGCGAGTAGGCAAGTCCCGCGGTTGGATACAGCAGCTCAGGTTACCAAAGTGGTGTTCTCCCTGATCGACACCGCACTGGTGTAGTGCGTGTACCACGAGGACACACTCACAAGTTGGGAACTTTTTGTAGAAGAGCTCAGGGCGGGTTTTGACGACTCAGTTGCTCAAAAAAACAGGCTGAGCAAACACTGTCGCAACGGGCGCAGCTACTAGGTGAGGCATGCACCACTTACATAGAAAAAGTGTTAAGGCTGTGCAAGGTGGTCTGCGCTACCATGCCGAAGAGGACAAAGTCGGTCATTTGCTGAAAGAGATGGCTGAAGACGTGTATAATTTGCTAATTAGAAAAGAAAGCCTCAAATATGTGTCCGACGTCATTCAGCATTGCCGAACGTTTGAAACACTCAAGAAGCGTCGAACCGCGCCCAAGTTTGGTCGGCTGGCTAATATTGCAACTGTTGCCAGTGTGGACACGAATTATGGCTTCAACCTCTTCCTACCATTCAACAGATTGTTCGCGAGGAACTGTCCCACCGAGAAATGCCATGTTTGACAGCTGACCATCCCGAGTTGCGTCGGCCACGTGAGGCTATAGATGTACCTTCTTTGACCCTATGGCAACCGACGATGAGCACGGCAACTGTGGAGTACAGCCCAGCCCCACAGTTAAGAATGACAAGCCGATTTCCCATTTCGCGGTATGACCGACGCACTCTGCGCATGCCTCCTCGACACCCGATGTCTCGTTATGATGTACCCGACCGGTATATTCGTTATACAAGAACAAGTGGTGACGCTTGATTCATCGACGAGCGACCGACGTTTCAACCTCAGCCGGTGTGCTAATTCTGCGGTGTTCAAGGCCACATGTAGTGTTTTCACAACCGTCGGGTGACTCCTTGGTATCACCAGCCATCCGACTTTTCAAGACCCTTCGAACAGTCTCATGGTGTCCGGCGGCTGGCTCACATACCACCTTATGACAACTATTGGTCCAGCAACTTTCGCAATCTCTCCCCGGCATCTGACACAAGTTTAATGCCTTCACCGCAAACTCATGCTCATCGTTCTCCTTCGCCTTTGCGTCGCAAAGCACCCTCTTCACCACCGGAAAAAGAGCCAGTGTAGCTGATGGGGGTGAAGTTGCTAGAAACGTGCTACTGACAGAAATACCTCCTGTGTGTATGTTTAAAAACAAAGTGGCTTGTTTTTGTGGATCAGGTGCCTGTGATGGCCTTGGTGGACACAGGTGCAACAATTTCCGTGATGCGTGCTCCATTCAAACAGGTGTTATGGCAGAAAGTTATTTTCACCTGGGATGAAACTTCGACATTCTGTGGAGTGAGTGGAGAGCCGCTGCGCGCTATTGGTGAGTGTAGTGCTGAAGTATTTTTGGGAGGCCTTCTCATGACGACAGAGTCTGCGATTATTCCTCGGTCGACACATCACGTGATTCTCGGCATGGACATTTTGCGAGATTGTGGTGCCACTGTAGACACTCGCACGGGGAAAGTCTTTGCGAGTGGCCAGATGCCGTCAGAACTCCTGGAAAACCCTGCGAATGACCAAACTACGCTGTGTGTCTGTGGTGATACGTTCATACCTGCATTGTCTACCCTACGTGTTCCTGTTGTTCGACAACAGGAACACGTAGGGTAGACAACGCAACAAGCCCGCCGTGCAACCTTAGTCGACTACGTGTTCCTGTTGTTTGTCATGGTGCGGATTCTAATAGCTTCGATGTGAGCATAGAACCAATGCACATAAACTGCGTGAAAAAGAATATTTTGGTTCCCCATTGTGTGGTGCGATCGATGGCGGATTAACTGGTCTATGGACTGTAACTTGTTCTTCAGAGCCCGTGACCCTACCGGATCGTTTGAAATTAGCTTCGGTCAGCAGAGAACACGCACCCTTATCAGTAGTCGAGCTCACAGACGTACCGGAAGAACGTGCCAAAACTGGTTGTCACAGTTTGGACTGGGTGCTTATGGCAATATAAATAAGTCTCTTAGCTCAAGCGAGTGCCAAAGTTTAATGAATGTGCTGGCGAAGCACGTTTCGGTTATTGACTTTGCGCAGAAGGACAAAGTAATTCCTATCCCCATGTCTCCAACACGCCATACCATCGACACTGGCGTGGCAAATTCGATTCTGTAAAAACCATATCGTGTTTCCTCGTCAGAAAGAAAAATTATCAACGACCAGGTTCAGCAAATGATGCGAAAGGGAGTGGTACAAGAGTCAGCCAGTCCGTGGGAAGCACCGGTAATCCTTGTTAAGAAGAAAGATGGATCTTGGAGATTCTGCGTCGACTATCGCCGAGTGAATGCCGTGACTAATAAGGAGGTATAACCGCTGCTACGTGTAGAGGACGCAATAGACTGCTTACATTCGGCTTGTTCTTTTTCTTTCCTAGATTTACGATTCAGCTATAGGCAAACTTCGATGCACTCAGAGAAGAAGGAAAGGACTGCCATTGTAACCCCTGATGGGCTCTTTGAATGCAACGGCATGTCATTTGGACTATGCAATGCTCCGGCAACGTCCAAGAGGTTTATGGACACAAATATGCGGGGCTTGAAGTGGAACATCTGCATGTGCTACCTCGACGACATCGTCATCTTTGGCCGCACGCTCAGCGAACACAACTCGCGTCTAGGTATTGTTTTGAACTGCATCTGAAACGCTGGCCTAGTTTTAAACTCAAATAAATGCCCCTTCGGAGACCACCAGACGCTTGTGCTCGGGCATCTCATTGACAGGAATGGCATCCGCCCTGACCCCCAGAAGACAAGCAGTTGAGGCGTTCAATGCGCCGCGTTCCGTCAAGGAACTTCGTAGTTTTCTGAGGCTTTGTTCGTAGTTCCGCCGCTTTATGACAAAGTTTGCCGACGTTGCGTATCCTCTCACAAGCCTCTCACGAAAGGACAAGTCCTTTCAGTGAACTTCGGTGTGCCATTCTTCATTCCGTCAATTGAAGTCTCTGCTGACGTCACGACCCGTCCTTCAGCACTTTTGCCCTTCTGCTCCAACAGAACTTCATACGGATGCTAGCCGCATAGGTATCGGAGCCGTCCTAGTACTAACGTTACAGTGACCACGAACACGTTATCGCATACGCAAGTAGCTCCCTAAGCAGGCTGGAGTGAAATTACGCTGTCACGGAACAAGAATGTCTGGCGGTAATATTTGCAATTCAGTGGTTTAGGTCTTACCTGTATGGACGCCCGTTCACAGTCGTCACCGACCACCACTCGATGTGATGGCTTGACAACCTTCGTGACCCTTGCGGCCCCCTTGCACGCTGGGCACTCCGGCCGCAAGAATACAACGTTACCGTCGCTTACAACAGTGGTCGTTGAAATGCAGATGCGGACTGTCTTTCACGTATGCCACTTAGCACAACGAACTGTGAAGCTAATAACTTTGATGACCTTGTAGCGTCTGTGTAATCTACATTCCCGGACTAGCCCAGTTTCAAAGCAGAACAGGAAGGACGCTAAACTAGCACCACTTTTCGCCACTGCATCCGCTTCCACTACTGCACGCCGTATGCGTGATGGACTGTTGTTCAAAAAGAATCTCTCCAGCAGTGGCGCGTGTTTCCTTCTGGTGGTCCCGGACAGTCTGCGAACAGTTATTGTGAGTGTCATGCATGACGACCCTACATCTGGACATTTAGGTTCGGCGAGGATGCTTCACCGGACTAAAGAGCGCTTTGATTGGTCTGGTATGCAAAAGTCCGTTCAGAGCTATGTGGCCAGCTACATGCAATGTCAGCGTCACAAACGTTCATCTACTGCTCCAACTGGTCTTCTGCAGCCGATGTCAACTTCAGGCGCATCTTTCGAACCAGTGGGGATTAACTTTATGGGCTCCTTTCCGAAATCGGCTAAGCACAACCGACGGATAATTTTTTGTGTCGACTTCCACACACACTACTGCGAAACAGCGGCCATCCCCTCCGCAACTGCCAGCGACGTCTCGTCGTTCTTGCTACAGTACGTCATCCTCTAACATGGCCCACTTCGCGTGATTATCAGGGATTGTGGATGACAATTCACAGCGAATGTCGTAGAGAAGCTACTTTGTTTGAGTGAT